GTTTGTTCCTTTGTGGCACACTAGAGACCAAACGCCTGGACCGATTTTGATGATTTATACATCAATCGATTCGTCTCAATCATGGGAGTGCTACTAAAGATATGATAGTAATCAAAATTCAATATGGGCAAAATTAGACGCCATATTGTGACGAAGTAAAAAAAATAAGTTGACAAAATATGTCGAGTGGGGTATCACTGTCTAGATAATCAAAAATCATATTTAGGTTCCTAACACCATTTTTCATTTTATAAGATTGTTTAGGATCTACAACGCTTTAAATTTGTATATTAACCACTTACGCTTTTAATTTCAATCTTACGTTTGTATGGATCTTTGTTACTCTTTCACCTTAATAAATACTGAATGGATTTTGATGAAACTTATCAGTAATATAGCTCATATATGATAATTACATATATATAATAATTTATGTAGTTATTGAGTGAATTGGGCAATATATAACAATAAGTATCACATAAGACGAAAAAAATCTCCCATCTGCGAGCCATTTTGGCCTGCACTGCAAAAACAATAAAAGTTACATGAATGTAATATAGAGTGAAAATGTATCTCTTAAATAGTTCTAAAAAAAAAGTCCGTGACACCATATATATATTTTTAATGTGTAAGTCATTACCGCTAAAATAGTGAAACTAAAATATTATTTGATATCTCTTTCCAAAATGCACATTTTGTATTAACAAATCATTTTTTATCAAAACAAATACTTTTATCGCTTTTGATATTTAAAGATGATAAACTTTGCTTCTTACACTATGTTATTTCGACAAATATTTAAAAAGTTACAACGATGACAAAGTGATAGCGCGGTGTACTATGTAAAAGAAAAAAAAATCTGATCCTATACGAAGTACTAACAATAAAACTGTGATACAGTTCCTTCTTGTTAAATGATGAAAAATATATTATCATAATAGGTATTTATGATTATTGTATGTTATATAAATGTATTATAATATTGGTTTTGTAATAATTCTGCAAAATTCAAAGTAAATAATGTAGATTTTTATAGGTAAATCACCCCTTTCATCACCCTACGCCTATATGTATTGCGATGTTGTAGCTAAGAACCAAGTTCCCATCTACTTCTATATGGGAATTCATTATATTCGGTTTAGCTATTAGGGCACGGAAGCCCAACAAACAAACTCACTTTCGCATCTATAATATTATATTATACTTATTAGTGATCCACCCGGGCATTGTACGGGCGAAATTTATTTATCGGGATAAAATATAGCCTATGTAACTCGGACAAAATGTATTTAAATAAAGAAAAATGTTATAATAAATAACGTAGCTACCTTATGTTGAATTAGTATTTGAAACCGGTTTAGTACACTTCTGGACACATCTATTGGCCCACCTTAGAGTTTAGGTTTCGATGGCCCCTACCGAAATATGATTGCTAGATTGAACAAAAACTGTTGATGCAGTTTTAAACCTGATACATTTTACCATCTTTTTCGATCGTATTGTTTTAAATTTGAATTCAGAATACCATACGACATGGAGCTACGCCTAACAAGTCGGATATGCGCCTTGTTAAAGGCAATTGATTTCTGAATAAAAAACATGTTTTATCAAATACAGGTTTAATTTAATAACGCGTGTTGCCTCGGTGGGCATCTACCACAGCTCTCATACGATTAGGCATAGAGTTTATCAACCGTTCTATGAAATTTTGAGGGATCATCTCCCATTCTTCTTCTCTGGCAGATTTCAACTCCTGCATCGTCTGGGCAACTGGCTGAAGAGCCCTAACACGTCTTTTTAGCTCGTCCCACATGTGCTCAATGGGGTTCATGTCTGGGCTTCTGGCTGGCCAGTCCATAACTGTGATGTTCACATCCCGAAGATATTCCCTGACGATGCCGGCCGCATGGTCTCTTGCATTATCATGCATAAAAAGGAAATATGGGCCCACATAGTCCGCGTATGGTATCACGTGAGGTTCTAAGCACTCACGAATGTACCTTTCAGCATTTAATGTTGGCAGCCGTGGTCAAAAGCAACCCTCTCTTCAAAGGAGCATTGTACGAAATGCTCTCCCTTACGTCGGTAGACCTTCTTCCTTCCATCATTGCCATGTAACACAATTTTAGACTCATCAAAAAAGAGTACACGGCTCCAATCTTACTGTGTCCAATTTAAATGACTGCGTGCGAAATGAAGGCGCGCTGTTCGGTTCGCGTTAGTTTGGGCCCATTAGCTGGCTTGTGTGGTACCATATCGCGTTCTTTTAACCTTCTCCGAACAGTTCGAGCGCTCACAGATACTCCGTGGAAGTCGCGAATTTGTTTTTGTATCTCAATGGAGGTAAGGTGACGATTTCTCAAGCTGGTCGTCACGATGAATTGATCCTGCCTTTCAGTTGTGACCCGAGATCGTGGCCTTCCTTGGCGACGAACAAAGCCGCCAGTCTCTAGGTACCTCCGAGCCAGGTAGCTAGGACCAAACGAAACTGAAAATACAAGGTGGGCCAATAGATGTGTCCAGAAGTGTAGTTTGACAGATTATTAGTTATAAACATACAAATCTTGCCTCTTTATAATATTAGTGTAGATAGTTAGAATAAGATAAGTATTTAATTGATGAAAAAGATTTAAAAATAAAGTAAGTAATACGTTTATTTGATTATATTTGTAAAAGTTACTTAGCATTTGTGCTTAACAGTGATACGTTACCGTCTTAAAATACTAACTAACTAAAAAGTGTGAAATAAAAAAGGTAAATTTAAAAAATCAAAAAACCCGACTGCTTAATTATACTTCAAATAAAAACTGAAAAGAAAAAAACAAGTCCAGTAAGTAGTCTATAATTCTGTTAATAAGGAACAAAGCTACTTTAACAGTCGGGACCCACTGTTGAAAAATATTATGTATTCTTGAATATCTAATGGGTCCCGACTGTTAAAGTAGCTTTGTTCCTTATTAACAGAATTATGGACTACTTACTGGACTTGTTTTTTTCTTTTCAGTTTTTATTTGAAGTATAATTAAGCAGTCGGGTTTTTTGATTTTTTAAATTTTTTATTTATTATTTTGTCACCGTTCGACCTCCCATCTCGCTGTGAAAATGATTCATTGTCTTTTCAGGAACGAAGGCCCACTTGCACTAAAGTTATTTATTAAAATTAAGGCTTACACATCATTCCATATTTGTCAATTGTTTATAGTAATTTAAAGATAGAACGGGGCTTTTAAACATGATTAGATTTTAAATTTGAATTAAAATCTTTGGTGCAAATGACTATGTAGTCCAAGTGTTGTTGCACTTCATATCATAATGCCAGCACTCCACTTGGCTATTCGTATTTGCTATTTGTAAACTTAAGAACATTCTAAGATTTTCTCTTCCTGTACAGCATGATAAGGACATCCTGCTGTCAAAATGACAAATTACAGATACGAATAGCTATGTGAAATGCCGACATATCATGCCAACCTCTACCTACAAGGAAACCTATTTATCTAGAATTTTAAAATTATAAGTTGGTTTCAAACAACTTGTAATGGTTATTATAATGAAAAATTTGCATTAATTTTGAAACATCCAATAAAAACTCTGTTGTTACCGTGACATATAACTAAATAATCTCGGACAACGAAAACGTAATACCCAACTTTAATTTATGATTTGTTATTTCTCAGTATTTTTATACTCTTATTATTCTACGAAATATGTATCCATATAAAATGTTCTGGATTTAATAGAGCATTATTTGTTTGCAATAGTGATACAGTAACTATTAGGGTAATTATCGTCGTTTACTAATGAAGATTTGATAAAGTACTTGGCTCCTAAGAATACAATTCATTACTTAGTAACGACTCAAGAAGTCGTTATTTTCAACTAGATATAAGGACCGTATTAAATTATGATTCTCTTTCCAGAATCATCTTTTATTTCAAATGTATAGTTTTTGAAGACATCTATAATTTTATTAATGAACTGAACTAGCGCTTTCACTTTATACTAGTTTTAATTTAAGTTTTATAATAAGTATTAAAAATATTTTTATTTTTTAAGGTACAAGTAGTGTCGCTGAGTTGGGTATTAAAAACATCATAAGACCTATAAAATATTGTGTCCTCCTTTTTTGAATTAAGCCTATTTATTTGTATTTTTCAAATCCTTAAAAATGAATCCATATCCATATAGAAAGTAAATAGGGTGTCCTTTCGCCGGCGCCGCTACATAAAGGGTTTAAAAACTGTTTTGCTAAACAATAACATTGTTAGGTATAATTATAATGTTGTAATTAGAATATGTAGCCACTCAATCACGATAGAAAGCCAAAACGTGAGTTCTAATTTAAATCAGTGAAGGTATCATATGAGTGGATATCAAAATATTGTACTAGTTTATTCAGGGAATTTCAGTTCGATCCAGAATAAACTAGTTTGCATATAATATTGATTCAGCCAATAAAATATTAATCTGTTTACAGTGTGAAACCCCACTTTTTTGTTTTAGTAGGTACTATTACATGTTCGAAATCTGATTGCTTACTTCTATTGATTTGTAGATTCGTTTTATTACAACTGGCTAGATATAGACGCATTGGAATGTCTATCATTGAAATTTTATACTTTTGGTTATATTCTTATGTATTGCACATATTATTATCTTCCTACAATGAAAACTACTACAAGACACCCAATGCTACTTTTTTGAGCAATATTCTGCAATAATGTTATTATGTATTATTTTAACCCTTTTAGTGTTTGAAAGATTATTTTTTACTCATTATTGTCGCTAATAACCATCCACCGAACTAAAATTGTGCGTGAATCGTATCACTGTCAAGATATGTAGGTAATTAGTTTTTTTTTTGAGATTTTCAAAAAAAAAATCGGTCGTATACTGATCAGTTTGATGGATATAAATATTATAGTCAATTTTTTTGTACCTACAAATATTTTACAAAGAGGGTTAAGGTGAAAAATATAGGTAAAAATAAAATTCCATAATAATTTGTAACTTAAACCATGACTTTTTAATACACTTTTTTCCTATATTACATTTCGTTTTGTACAAAAAACAACGTATCGACGAAGTATACAACTTGTTTCCAATTTCAATTCGACCTCATGCAAAATCACAAAGTATAAAAAAATTAATAACTAAGCATAATATCAAAAATTACGTATTTATACGAGATCGTGACTTGTTGGGAGACAGTATTTGGAATAATCGAATGTATAAATCTAACAATGGTAAATTAGGAAATTGTGTTGACAGAGCTCAAATCAAGGATCATAACGAATTTTGTCTTAAATCACTTGACCGTATTGCATAACCAAGCTTTAGCCTGGAATATTGTGCCATAAATAAAACAACAAATAAAAAACGCTTTTGATAGGAGATCTTCAACAATATCAGAATAAATTGATCATAATAAAATGCTATACATAATGTATCTTAACTGTTATGAATTTTGAGTAATTTCCCATTCAATTATAGATGATAAAATAAAATATACACCATGAATTTCGAGTTACCCGCTGCACTAGGTAATTCAGATAACGATATACATAATATTTACATAAAAAATGTTTTTTTTTCAAAGTGTAGCTCAATAATTAATCCTTAACAATTGTTATTGTTAAAAATTGATTCAAATAAATCTATTTTTAGGATCTACGCACTTTAAACGGATAATAATTCCATAATTGGTATATTATTTACAAATTTGCTCCATTTTAGGATATTTTTCAAGCAACATAAATTTAGTATAAACAGTAAACGAAGTACACCTGTTTACTGTTTTTAAGTGTTCTCACTATTTTTATTTACACGATTTTTAAGTTCCTTAAGTAACTCAAAATTCACTGTGTATACGTGTACAGTTCCGATTTACCAACTTTTGGAATTCGGAAAAAACTTCTCAGAAGAAATATAGTTTCTTCTTTTATTAAATATAGTTTCACTTTCATATTTTGTTTTTTTTTGAAGTAATACATAATCAATATTATCTTAATCGTCTGAACGTTGTCTGCAAAAATATAATTTAATTAAGTTTCAACTTTTGTTGATCATTTATAATCTCTAAGTATTGAGCAATTTCTTGTTTCATATTTTTAATTTAATTATTGTTAATATGTTTATAATAGTATACAGATGCTTTGTCCTGTTAATATATAAAATCATAGATTTTTGGTTATTTTCTTGATTAGAAAAATAAAGCTTTTTCGTATTAAAATAATGATTAATCTAAACATATTGTCAACTTTACGTTAGGAATTTTTTAAATGAAACAGGCAATTTCACAAACTGTATAGACATTATTTACGGCATGATCTTTTACATATTTAAATCAATAATTTCAGCTGTACATTTTTACCATTTCACTATCAAAAACTTCGCCAATCAATTTTACTCATGGCAATCGGAAGACATATAAAAATTAAAACACAACAAAACCCCTTGCCTAGCTACTGCTGTTCACAAACCGTCACTTTCTTCATTTAACAATTTTTGCTCCGTAGAACTGTGTCAAGGCATTTCTTATCATTTATTAAAGAAAATGTCTACCGCGCTAAGATAATAAATGAATTGAATAAATCAACGTCTTGGCATTGCGTCACCGTTATTTACAATGAAATACCTGTTTGCTTTATGAATTATTTTCACATTTAGTTTATGATCTTCGAAAACGAAATCTTTTATTTTGATCTTAGTTATTATTTTGCTTCGATTTTCAATTCCTCTAAAACCATCCGTATCATAAAATCTTTCATTATTACAGTTTGAAACATCTCTAAGACTACAGGTAAAAGTTGTAAAAATATCAAAAGTTTTAGTTATGATCAGTACCTATTCTCCTCGAGGGTTAACAAAGGCATTACAGTTAGGAATGTTACAAAGGGAGATTTTTTTCCGTATTACAGTAAATTGTTTGACATTCAGTCTCCGAGCTCCATTGTTAGAAGGCCTATTGTTTTAAACAGAGCCAATGGTAATATCACTATAGCTCGTTTGTTCGTTGAACTATAAATGATGTGTGAATCATGCTTTCCTACGTAGAATTATTTTACACGTATAAAATTACTCTTTGGATTCAGAATCAGATATTAGTTTGAGAAGATTTTTGGTGGTCAGTCGATTTCAATGAAGAGACCTATGCTAATTTTACATTTCTTACTTTCTCCCAAATATTAACGACAATTAACAATATCCTAATTATAACAATTTTCCAGTAGTTAGTGCGTAAGGTCGAATTAAAACGCTTAATTTGAAGAATGGCTAAATATCTATCTAATGGAGCAACTATATTGATATACCAGACCTTTTTGAGAAATAAACTGCGTCATTATATATCGTGAACGAAACAAGGTAAACATTTCAGATGACACAGTATACAGAACAACGTGCCCAAAGAGATCTGGCTCAATACAACGACTAGGCATTGGGGCAACTTTCTTAAAACACAACCGAAGCGATTCAAAATCAGTCCCAAACTTAATTCAACAAAGTTCAAAGTAAAAACAATGTTTAAACAGAAACAAAAGAAAGCGACCCCACTTCCTAACAAATTAATTGGATAATATCATTTAAAAATTGGTTAATTCTCTTATATCCACTGTCTAGAGCATACAACCTTGGTGGCTCCTTCACTTCACAATGGCCGCTCACTCACACACTGATCTTGCATACGGACTTGAGTTAGCGCGTGTGTGGTCACCGTACATGCCACAAGCCGAGGTTAAGTACACTAAGCCGAGGCAACTTCACGATATGGTCCAAGCCTTGAGGCGTTATACACGTACAACCATACAAGTCTATAGCCCTTAAGTTCAGCAAGCCGTCGCCTAAAGCACGCAATCCTCTGTCTGTGACCCGCGTGCACTGTCCTATATTGAGAGTCTCTAGTTGAGATAGCCTAGCGACCCTCTCTAAGCCCTCGTCCGTCAAACGACAAGCACTCAGAGATAACGAGCGCAGTCCAGATAGCCCTAGAGTCGCATGAGATAACGCCTCGTCCCCTACTTTATCACAAAACGAAACGTCCAACGCGCGTAATCTACCACTCTCGGCTAAATGAGCCACTCCGGCGTCCGATACTCCGTCACATGCTCTCAAGTTTATGTCTTCTAAGTGCGGTAGTCTCGCAAGATGCCTCAATCCAGCATCAGTCACCGCTACGCAAAAGGATAAATTGATGGATTTCAGTTTAGGGAGACCTGTTGCTGCGTGTTTCAACGCTTCATCCGTAAGCCTCTGGCAATCCTGTAGACCCAAATGTTCTAACTCCGGTGTCCCTCTGGCCTCTCCTCCTCCGCACAAATGCGCTATACCAGCGTCGTTCACGTGCCAACAAGACCTCAAGTTTAATCGTCGCAACTTCCTCAGGCCCCATGCTATCAGCAACAGCCCCGTGTCGGTTATATTGCAACAACCTCCCAATTCTAATTCCTCTAAATTTTTCAATGATTGTGCTATTCTTCCTAGAGACGAGTCCGTCACTTGTTTACAAAGGGATAAGTCTAGTCTTTTTAAAGCTGGCAGTTCCGCTGCGAATGCACTGGCTAAAGCTGCGTCTGTCACGCTATAGCACCCACTCAACGATAAGGATTCTAATCCTGGAAGCGCTGCGACGGCGTCTCTCAAGCCTCGCCTAAGAGACAAAACTTGTAGTTTCCTTATTCCTCTTCTTGCGAGTGAAGCAAACAATACTGGCGCTGGCCTTCTCAAGTGCAATGCTGCTTCGACTCCCCGCCAAACGGATCGTCGGTCGGCTGCATCTTTCCACGCGCGGCAAACTTGGGCTGCGCGACCTCTGTCTCTCACTGGAAGCCTTTCAAAGATGAGCGCGAGCAACTCCGGATACAATCTCGAAATGTGCGTTCCCTGTGGCTCTGGTACCGGTTCAGGCACGTGCAAATGCGGTCGGTGTAACCTGTAGGGGGCGCTGCGTTGTTTTCTCCTATTGGTAGGCAACTCGGTGAGGCTGAGTCGCTCGTCGCGCCAGGAGAGCGCATCCTCGGTCCACGCACTCATAGCGTCACTGCACGGTGTGTACACATCGGAACGATCGCGAGCACGGCGTGCGTACGTCCCCCGTGGCGGCCGGGAGGCAACTGGCGAGCGGAGCGCGGGGAGCCGTGGCCGGCGCGCGGCGATTGGTCGCGGGCGGCGGCACGTGACGCGCGTCGTATCGATTCGGAGGTTCTGCGGCGGCATTTTTAAGTTGGCGAACGGAGAGCACGCCTTCCCCGTGCGGCCCTCTCGCTCTACAAATAGATTGCGTAGCGTGTAGAATGGCCACACATCTCATTATATACCTAACTTTGTGATGTTATATAAATATTTTATTTAAAAGTTTTAAGTAGATATCACAAAGTTCTAGTAGTAGTTCTAGAGGTATCAAGTAATTAAGTTATTTGAAGTACTACTGAACAGTAAAATTATATACCTATCCTTTTATTTTGATGTATCTGAGTAAAAATGGTAATATAATTCTTTATATACCACTCTACTTTTTTTATTACAATAATACTTTTATTCAAATTGTCCGCTATCTGATATTGAATATATTAATAACATATCTACTCTACATTATCAACAGATCAAGTCGGTTTACAGAGTAAAACTTCTTAAAATAAAAATATCCATTGACTACAGGTACGCTACAAAAAAAATAACAAACCTCACAGAGCTTACATTCTGTAGGCTTTTACATACAATTTTTTTCACATACATACTCATTGAATTGAGTGATAAGGCGGCAAAACAACTCAGCGTCGCGCCGTATATTTTCGTTCACTGCACTTGCCGCGGAGTTGCGACCAGTTTACGAAAGTCCCTGTCACCTCTTCAGCGAGCCTTTATGTGTTAGAAATAAGAACTACAAACTCAGATGACAGGGGTCACATTGCATTGGTATTATGATAACACCGTCCAACTATTACAAGGGCAACCGGTCGAAGCGGTCCAAATACGAAATACGAATTGAAATGCGCTCCAAAATGGAACGGTTGCTATAGAGTTGGTTGGTAGGACCCGTTTAAGGCGGGAGGTATTATAGATAAACTAGTGTGTTCTTAGAACTTTGAGAAACTAGTTTTTTTATTGAAAGGGATGCCTGCTTGTGCCTCGTTCCGTTTTACTCAGATCGCGTGATTTTTACAAGATTAAATATACATATTTTTATATTGTGGTATTAGTGTATTTACATATAAATAAATTGAAATAGATATCTAATGTGAAATGACATAGATTGTTATTTCAACATTCTAACTAATTTCTTCGTCATTTTTTTTTGTTGAATTTTTGTTTTGCTTTGTGAAAAGTTTTTTTTTAAATATTTTATTAATTTATTTAATCAGTCTTAAAAGATATTTATTACTTCATTCACTTGAATTAACAAAGTATTTTTCTGATATAATACCTACTTATTAAGAATGCGAAAGCTAGTAGTACTATGAGTTTTGTTGTTCAATGAAGTAAATTCGGCTAAACGGATTTGGAATTTTAGAACATAGATATAGTTAATTACTTGGATTTAAACTAATAATGCATTTTTTAATCGTTGATAAATGTTACTTTCTCGATGGATTATCAAATACTCTCTTTCTCTATAAATGATGTGTTCACAATGTGCAGTCGTATTAGTGCACGAGTATTTTTTAGCTTGTTTTACTGTCCTTTAATGATTTTTAAAGGATTTTCTAGATCTGGTATCCTGTGATGATGTCACTGACAAAATATAATCTGAGACAGTAAATTAACTATAACTTCTTCAGAGAATTTTACTAAAAAAACAATCACTCGGTCTAGATTTTAGACGGGATTCGAACCCGCACCTTCCGCTATCCGGGCGGATGCACTTACCAATTATGCTACCGAGACCTTAATGGCCGTGTCGAATTTCCTCCAGTATTCCTTAAGCTACAAGGCAGCGTAGCATTCTTCAGCAACAGATGTGGGTTCCCAACTCAAACCTGGACCTGATGGATTTCTTTTCAAAAAATAAACTTTAGATTTAGACATCTAGCAGTAAAATGCTTAAAATATATATATATAATAATCTATAACTTCTTTACCCCAATAAAACCAACTATAAATTAACAAGATAATTAATAAATAATTAATTTAATAATTATCTTATGAATGCCTTTTCTGTTTTTAAACTAAAATATTTTACTGACATTGAGCCTAAAAGCCATAATATAATTAAACAAATGGATGAACGATGAAAAGTAGGAAATGAACTGTTTTGTGCGTTTAAACTACGGAGGTTTAAAGACTTTCACCTAAACGCATGACATAATCCATTTATGATGTGATACCACCGAGCTACATTCTGCCGGATACCCATTAGCGAGCTGTTACCGTAACCGTTGCATGCACTGTAACCAAAAAGCATAGTGTGTACGTGGTTCGCTAACCTGCTGCGAGCGGTACACGTACGGTTTGCAGCGAGCCGACGTTTACGACTGAGCTACAAGCGTACACACTAAAACCTCGTACTGTGTCACGCATGTTACGGTTACAGCCCGTAATAATGTCATCGACTGCATCAACAATCGGTATAATCCACAAATCCGCACTGGGCCAACTTTATTGGTTGCGGAAACCAATAGCCTGTATTCAGCCGGGTACTCATTAGCGAGCTGTTACCGTAACCGTTGCATGGACTGTAACCAAAAAGCATAGTGTGTACGTGGTTCGCTAACCTGCTGCGAGCGGTACGCGTGCGGTTTGCAGCGAGCCGACGCGACGTTTACAACTGAACTACAAGCGTACACACAAGAACCTCGTACTGTGTCACGCATGTTACAGTTACAACTCGCTAATGAGTACCTGGCTTGAAAGTCTCGACTGCATCAACAATCGGTATAATCCACAAATCGCACTGGTCCAACTTTATTGGTTCGGAAACCAATAGCCTGTATTCAGCCGGGTACTCATTAGCGAGCTGTTACCGTAACCGTTGCATGCACTGTAACCAAAAAGCATAGTGTGTACGTGGTTCGCTGACCTTACGACGTTTACAACTGAGCTACAAGCGTACACACTAGAACCTCGTACTGTAACACGCATGTTACAGTTACAGCTCGCTAATGAGTACCCGGCTTAGTGGTACAGAATGTCTCGACTGCATCAGCAATCGTTATAATCCACAAATCCGCACTGAGTCAACTTTATTGGTTGCGGAAACCAATAGCCTGTAGGGCGGTTCTGTAAAATAGAATCTCGCTTCCGATTTCGGTAGCTGCCATTTTAGACATAAGTTTGATATGCATTACGCCATTACACGGCAAAATATCGCTATGTCTGTAGATGCAGCTAGTATTAGATATTTCACATTTGCAAGAAATCCGAATAAATGAGATCGTAAGTGGAATTGCATCTTACCCCTCCTCAGATTCGAGCGGTCTCGAGACTCCAGACGGAGAGGAGACTCCCCCCGTGGGGAGACGTAATCCACCTGGTATACCTCTAGGGGCACTCGCCAATTCTCGGCTTGAGGTCCCCTTAGGATCTCGTCGTCCCCAGGTGACGCTGTAAAGGTCATCTGCGACAAACAGCATACACATTATAAAAAAAATGCATCTTACAAAATTCCTATGCTGTTCACTTTATTCCTGTAGTATTACAAGTGAATGGATTGTTGGTCTACTTGTCATTCCAGCTCTCCCATTCCAGCAACACTGGAGTAGTGTAGACTGCGATTTCAGTATTGGATTGAATGTTGGATAGTGCAAATTTGCGATCTGCTTTATTGTAGCCATTGTCACTACAGTGTTACCAGCAGACCCGTCTTCCCCAGTGGGCACTTTGGGGCAAGTGCCCAGGGCCCCGGGATCGATAGGGGACCCCCTCAGATCAAATACAAAGTAGGGACTCTTTTTAATGGAGGAACTAGGGAGTTCCTGTTAAATCACCAAACGGAAGTCGTAGGGGCCCAATTATCCTAATATGCCCAGGGCCTCCAATAGGTCAAAGATGGCACTGGTGACCAGTTCAACAGTTTTTATTGGTCGCCAAACTGAAAAGAACTATTTAAATTCTAATCCGACCTCATTTGCAAAATGTGCTCTAATGCATAACAAAAATGGCATAATGCGGCGTTTGGAATAAGTTAACGACCTCCGTGGCCAAGTGGTATGAACGCTGGGTTTCAAGGTGTCGCCTACTTGAGAGGTCCCGGGTTCGAATCCCGGTGGTGGCAGATGTTTGTGTGATGAATGCGACCATTTGTACTCAAGTCATGGATGTTTAATATGTATCTCTATATAAATATAATTATATGTGTATGCGATGTCATCAATTTTCAAGGGTGTTTTGGTCCCCAACAAATCCAATTGGTTTTAAATGGTCATCGTCTGAGAGCCAACCACAGTTTTCAGGGCCCAATTTTAAGCAATTAATCAGTCGTATGAAGCCAGATGAATTGATATAAATCGTTCATAATGTTTTTTGGGTTAAAGAAGACCAGCATGGTGGCAAATTGTAGGAGTCATAATTTTTTACTTTTTCCAAAAAGTGCTTATTAACTCTTTGCGGGATAAATATAATAATATGTGTATCTATATATATAAAACTCAAAGGCGACTGACTGACATAGTGATCTAACGCACAGCCCAAACCACTGGATGGATCGGGCTGAAATTTGGCATGCAGGTAGATGTTATGACGTAGGCATCCGCTAAGAAAGGATTAATTCTACCCCCAAGGGGATAAAATAGGGAATGAAAGTTTGTATGAAACTTTGTCAATTTTAAACCGATCGGGCTGAGACTTTGCATGCAGGTATAAGAAGAATCATAGATGAATGTCATTGTGTAGGTATAATACAAGCCTGAGAACAAAAACTGTAGTCTACACTTCAGCTCTACACCGAAGCGAAGCGAGGGCGGGCCGCTAGTCACAATATATATTCTATTCATTATTCCATAACACAAGCCTACAGTGCTTACTTTGGGTCTAGGCTAATTGCTGTGAGTGTTGGGGATATTTAATTTATTTTAAAATGTTAACGATATAATCCAGTCTAGCACTGGACTGGATCGATTCGCTGGATTTCTATACTGGAATTATGTGAACCGGGCATAAGTGGTTTTCAATACTGGTCTGCGAGAGACAGTTAAACACATTTAAGTTCTTTCAGCTGCATTTTTTGTGCCGTATATTAATATATTACCTATGGACAGGGTATATTTGGAAAATTTAGGCGATAC